ACAGTTCTGTACAGTCCCAGCAACTGGGACCAGGGGTGCCCCCTCCTTTAGAGTTGGGGTGGCAGGGATATGGTAATATCCAGGCTATCCCATCCTGCCCGCCATGACCTGTGATGCCTCATTTTTCTCTTGCACCTTTGTTACTGCTTTCAGAAAGTATGCCCTTCACCAAATCCTGTTAGTGTTGTGTAGAATGCTCTACAGAGATCTAGTTCACAGCGGGGTAGAGGTCTCAGGCAATAGCTGGTTGTGGGGGTTTGGCTAAAAAGGTGACAACTGAAGAGTGTGCCATCTTCTCAATGGCAGCAGAAGAGATGAGGAAAGTCAAGGAAGTGATGGATGAAAAGCACGTGGAAAGACAGAAATATTGAAGAAGGAAAAAGTGAAGGAGAAGAATGTAGAGGAAGAGGTGATGAGGTGATGAAGTGATGTCCATAGGGAGAAAAGAGGAGGTGGTAAAGGAAAATAAAGTGATAGAAGGGAAGGAGGTAGCAAGACCTTGGCCCCTGAATGTGATCTCTTCAAAGACTTTCTTGAGTCTGGAGTTAGAGGCAGTGAATGCTCAGGCTGACAGGGCCTTCCTCCAGCTGGAGCCAAGTTTGGGCAAATGCAGTGGTGCTTGTGTGAGGGCACAAAATTCATCAACTAAAATAAATCCATCTTCTGGGACACCACCTTTTAGAATAACCCCACCTAACAGATATGCCTAAGGTCCACAATGCAGATTTTCTGGGGTCCATATCAATTAGGAGTAAGAGTTTAGACATCCCAGGACAGGCTCATGTTCAAGGTCTTCTTTTGAACAAACTCCTACTGTAGAAACAAGGTGATCATTAAAGAATATGAGGTCAGATCTTCTGGACAAGTGGCCTTTTTTCCATTCTAAACATATGACCAGGATCCCATGCCCCAAGTCCTTTATCTGCAGGAGCAGAACATCAACTGTAGCTTTTTCACCTGGTCCTCAGAATACAGCCTCCCACAATCTGACAAGATTGCTGTTATTTAAGGTGATCTGTGGCCCAACTCCTACAATACTACTTGCTGTGTGAAAGGAAGCCAAACTAATTCAGCAGAGCAGCCCGTAGAGATACTCAAGTCATTTGGGTACTAGTATGGTTAATGCCTACCTTTGGCAATTGTCCCCACTCCATATTACCTGCCATCGATTGTTGGACCTGTGCTTGGCCAACAGTGATGTGTATGTGCTGGCCTCTGCACCTTGGCTCCTCTTGACCATTAGTGTTCTCAACTTGAAGAATGTAGCTTTTGTGGTCATGGCCATCACTTTGTCTAAGCCAAGAAAATTATGCTGAAGACTGCGCTGCCTTCATCTACATAGCATGAATGAATGCATAGCTCTAAGAAGTTTACTTACACCACTTTTACTTCTGGAATAATGTGAAGATTTTGATTATAAAGTGTCAAAAAGAAGGTATACCAGGAAAGGTGAATTCTTAAAGTTTGATAAAATCAGCTATAATAATATGTGAGACAGCAGTTGTATGTAATATTTTTAGTACTTAAGCCTCCTCTTCTATGTTCAGAAAAAGATGTAAGTTTTTTCAGACATTTGCATAAGCACAATCCTTTCCATCTCCATACTTAGTTTAGACATCTTTATTCTTATCTAATGTCATTCAAGAACAGGTTGGAGATGCTGAAAATAAATGAGATACACTATTTTAGATGGTGTGTATTAAAAAAAAACACTGAAGCAATAATAAAGGAATCCAGAACATTGTCAACATTTTGTACAGTTTTTTTCTTTTGGTAGTACGTTTACAATGTTTAACTTTGGTTTAACTCAAGGGAGCAACCTCAGGAGCAACTGTAATTGATACATAATGCTTTTCCTTTCTCTACTCCTCGTGAAGCAAAACTGACATTCTTTTGAAGAGAATCCACTAAAATTTCCACATATATTTAGTTCTGCTAAACTTGTATAGACCTGACTTAGCTGATGGGAGAAGAAAGGAGAATGGAGCTTTAATGGAAAACTGCATTACTAAGGTGGTAGTATTTCTGTCAAGATTTTCACATTAAGATGCTGAATTTGTCTGCAAAGAAAGAAAAGCATCACAGACATTTATTACATGCACTTTACAACTGGGTATTTGAAAATTTCTAAGCAATTACCTATTCACTCATGTACACATTAATGCTATTCACCATGTTTTTCTGGCTCTTCTCTGGACACGTTTGGTTGCATTTTCCCATCCCCTTTACGTTAAGCATGGCCATGTGACTTGCTTTGGTGAATGAATCTTGGGAAGAAGCTATACATGTCACATCTGGAAGAAAGCTTTAAGAGCTAGGGCACAGTTGGTCAGAACCTCTTTTCCTTTGCCATGGCCACCAGCTCCAGGAGAGGAGGTTCTATTAGCTTAGTTCCTAGAGTGAAGAGACGTGGCACAGTGTTTCTCCCCTCTACCTCAATTCCTTAACTCACATAAATATGTAGCATGAATGAGAAATAAACCTTTGTTATTGTAAGAGATTAAGATTTGGAGCCTATATTGTTACTGCAGCATAGTCTAGCTCAGCATAATGGAAACATCTTTTAATTTTTTCTGTATATGGCGTGTTTATGAATCATATGTGCATTCCACATCTTCATATAGGTCATGGTTTTTGGATGCTTATTTCTTGCCTAGTTCTTGATCCTATTATTTCTGATAGCTAACCTACTTCAAATATTTGGAAACTAAACATTATAAAAGTCTTACGTGATCATGTATGGATTTTAATGTGAATTTGTTATATTTGTACACATGTTTGCCTTGCACTTCATTCGATTTATGTCTTATATCAATTGGTAACATATTTGTCCATCTTCTCCATGCTATTACATTATACACTCTTAAGGAGAAAGAGCAACATGTAATATCTTTATATATTCTTGTGGTAGAAATTTTAGAAATATGCGTTTAATTTATTGGAACCCAATAAATTTTTGCTGAAAAGACAATGGAGATAATGCTGATGATGAGGAGGAGGATGATAGAGATTTCAAGAAGAGATTACGTTCCTGGAACATGCATGTTCAGAGTGACTGTAAAGCAATTCACTTTATGTAAATAATTTACTGCCTATGTGTTCTGGTATCTGAAAGTCAGAAGTGAGTTTCAAAGTACATAGCTAATAGCATTCTAGATTTTCAGATTGTGTAGAAATACAAAAGAATGAGATAAATGTGAGGATTCACAAATAGCATTGTGTTTTTAGGGAGAAAATGGTAAATGGCCACATTTTAGCTGTTTATTATTTGCTGGATGTCTTCCTCAGTGGGAATTCTTTAGAGGGAGTATATTTTAGTCTTTGAACTAAAACCTTTACCAACTGACATCGCACTGTCTTTCTGTCTTTATTATATGATTTTATTTCCATTTTTGGCATTAGAAAACAGGTCTTAAAGTGAAAATTTTGAACTTCATGATAGATGTGAAGGTATTTGAATCATTTTTGATGCATTTTTCCTGATCAGATTCTGATAAAGTGATAATTTTGGCATTCCTAGTCCCATGAGCTTCTTAAGTGTTTTCATCGTATTCCCTAAATTAATGCTCACAGAATTTAATGCATTACATGTTTTTAATACTCTAGTGTTAAAATGTATTCACATGACATTTAATTATTGCTATTAAATCTTAACTGACTTAAGTAATTATAATTCTTGACATATGTATGATAGAAGCATTTTCAGTCATTTAGGGGCAATTTTCTCCTACACAGATCTACATGGCATACAAATATACTGATGCTCATAAAATGAGTGGTGAAAATGAGCAAATCATTCAAATGACTGCTGTAATCATGGTAAACATGGTTAATTAATTAATTTATTCATTTGTAAATATTTATTAAATAGCTATATTTAGATACTATGATAAGCACTATGAATATAGAGATGAAAAAGACATGGTCCCATTCTTAAAGAGTTCATGTCGTAGCTGAGGCTATGTATTGATTATACATAGATACATATTGATTATAGCCTATGATGAAAGCTATAGCAGAGAGGTGTAGAAAATATTAGTTCTAGAACTAATGGAAGGACTATGGAGGGCTTCACAGAATAAGGTGATATTGGAATTGGGCATTTAATACAATTATTTCATCACTTTGCTCTAATTAAAACATTAGAACGATTGAGGATTTTACCACCATATCTACTTTGAATAATTACAGAAATTTCCTCTGAAAATAAATTGTGCCTAACTTTTATTCCATGTTTCATGCTTTTGAAATTTCAGGATTTTAACCTAGAGTAAATATTTAACAAAAGCAATGGCCACTCAGAAGGGATGCTGACAATAGAATTAGAACAGGGTCTGGAAAGACTCCAACGGTGCCTATTAATTCTTTAATTGTAGAATTATGGATGGATTTCTGCCAACTTCTCATGTCTCAAAAATTACCAATACTAGTTTCTTTCATTTAGGATATTTGTGAAGATGAAATCAGATAATGCGTGTAAAGTGGTTGACACAATTAATGGTATGGAGTAGGAATTCAAGAAATGTCAGGTAGTATAATTATTAAGAGTAAGTAAGAGTAGACTTGGTTAACAAATTACAGCTGTATAAAAAAATGTGTAGTAGTGGAAAGGCGGGAAAATTACTTTCCAGTGAAGGTCTCCTTGAAGGTTTGAAGGAGACACGAGGGTGGCTTCATAAACGTCATTATTTGGAAATTTTCCAGGCAAAAATACGGGCAATTCTATTTTTGTGAGGGATAACTATTTTATATTCCAGTTGTTTCCAATTTCAGCGATCATCTACGGTGATAATGTTGATGAACAGCCCTGGAGTGAGATGTCAGTATTTGACTGAGGCTGTTTGCAAACTCTGCTGTGATTACACTCAGTTGTCTAATTGCTTAATTTATCGATGTTTTGCTGACATGTTTTTCAGCAACGTTTGTGATTGCAGATAACTAATCATTTCTATTCTGGCTCATTATCATATGTTTGCATTTGGTTTGTCTGATTGCTGCAGGTGGAAACAATAGGTGATGCATACTGTGTTGCTGCAGGACTCCACAGAAAAAGCCTCTGCCATGCGAAACCCATTGCTCTGATGGCCCTGAAGATGATGGAACTTTCAGAGGAGGTGCTGACACCTGATGGAAGACCAATTCAGGTACCCCTCAAAAGCTAGTTTGAGTAGTAGTAAGGCATCTTTAATTGAAGGGAGCAAGAAATTTCTTTCTGGATCCTATTTACTGCAACTTGTAGATCTAGACAAGTTGGGTGCTCGAGGAGGACAAAGAATAACTAGAAGTGACTCATAGATCCAGGAAAAGAACAAATGGAATGTGGTCTAATATAAGAAAAGGTATGTGGAAGGCAAATTACCATGGAGGAAAGAAAGAGCTAAAGGATTAGACTAAGGGAAAGAACTTGCTGTCAGTGACTAAGTCACCAAATAAAAGCAAGGATGATGGTGAAAATCAGAGTCTGAGAGATGATCCAAAAAGGAAGCAGCAAAGAAGCAAGAAAATGGAAGACCTGGACAACTTTCTGTGTGTGGTATACAGATGTTCTTTGCCTCAGGCTCCAGGGTGACTTCTGCAATTTTTTATGGGGCAGAGCTTAAAAGTTGGAGCCCAATAACTGAGGAAACTTTAAAAATGGTAGAAAACGTAGTTCCTGGTGTGTTTTACTCTTTTTGGTACTCATGACTCTGCAACCCAGAATTTACCTCTGGAAATGGATTAGGTCACCTAGCTGTGGTTTTGCCAAAACCCAATGGATCCCAGATGTGTTTTTACTATGAATTCTTATAAACCTGGAATCTTGCATTTGGAGAATTAACCTTGAATTTAAGTAGCGCTCTTGTAACAGCTCACCAACTATGGGTTTAAAAAATACAGAAAAAAAAAAAAAAGCCTCGAAATACATTCCTAGTTGTGACATTATGGCAAATTAGATAACTTGAGTGACCCTTCTGATTACAATTATTAAAATACACTGTTAAATATTTTTAAAATATTTTTTAATACTGTTAAGCACATCATTGAACTCATTGGAAAGGGAGAAATGTACCAATCACATTATGTATGTTGACTGAACAAAACTTAAGTGGTGAATTTAACTCAAGTACTCTGTCATTACTCTTAGTAGAAATCCAGGAAATACTATTCCTTCCTGGAAGAAGTCAACTTCAATCCCATCCTCAAAGAATTTGCACAGATAGAAAGAGAAGCTTAAAAATGTGAGGTGGGAAGAGTAGATTTGAAAAAAAACAAAACAAAACAGAGAACCTCAAAGCAATCAACATAATACTTAAAAAAAGAAAAGATCAGTGGATTAGTTTGAAAGCAGATTAGACACAGCTGAAGCAAAAATTAGTGCACAGGAATTTAGAATTATAGAAATGATCCATAATTAAGTCCACAAAATTAAAAATGCAGAAATATGAGTAAGAGAATGTAAAATGTAAAATATGAAGCAGACGTGAAGGAGAGAGTGGGAAGATGTAATATATGTTCAATTAGGTCTCCAAATGGAGATAATAGAGGAAATGCAAAAAAGGGAATTTTTTTCTGGAACTATTAAAAGACATTAATCAGTTCTTAGACACATTAATCCTGAAGAATTCTACAGAAAGTAAATCATAGGAATCCAAAACTAAGCATATCTCAATGAGACTGCAGTACTTCAGAGAAAAAGAGGACTTGATAAATGACAAAGGTGACGTTGCTCAGTGGGGGAAAGGATGGAGCAGTTCAATAACTGGTTTGGGGACAATTGGTTATCTATTTGGTAAAAAAAAATTAAAAGTGGGTCTCTATTTCATGAGTCTTCTCTTAAATAAATTCCAGGTGGCTTAAACATGAAAGTCCATACTGTAAAATTATAGATTGATAATTAGGAATTTTTGACTTAGAGCAGGGAAGAATTTTTTGTAAACTAGTCAGGTCAAAAAATTTCAAATCATAAAAGAAAATATGTATAAATTTAATTCCTTGCAGGACATTTGATCCTATCCAAAACATCTTTGAGACATTTGGTCCATAAGACACTTGGTTTACACCAAAAGGTCTTTGATATCTGGTCATATTTGGTCCTATCCAACACATCCATGGAGACATTGGGGCCACACCAAAAGGTCCTTATTATTTGATCTTGTCCAAAACCATTTGGCATAGGCCAGATATGCTCATGGATGTTTTGGATAGGACCAGACATCAAGGATCTTTGGTGTGGACCCAGTGTTTTATGGACGTTTTGGAAAGGACCAAATGTCTGCTAATCATTTTATTGCATTAAAAGTAAAACCTTCCTGTTTATCAAAGAACACCTAAAGACAATAAAAAGACAACCAGAAACTAGAGAATTATTTGCAACACATTTAACCAATAAGAGTATCTTTGTTAATCTCATCAGTAATCAGATAAGTGTATATGAATAACACTATGATACAGCATTTCCACCTAATAGTTTGGCACAACTTTGAAAACTTTACAGTGCTACTATTGGTGAGGATCTGGAGCAGCAGGAAATATCACACACAGCTGCTGGGAGTACAAATGGGAGTGGGAGTAAAATTTACTTTATCTTAAGTAGTAAAGTTTAATTTGTGCCTTTCCTACAAGCCACTAATCCCTCTCCTAGATGTTTGCACTGGGGAAATACTTGTGCATGTGTAGCAGAAGTCACACACAAGATTACTCACAGCAATAATTTCATGATAGCCTTAAACTGGAAATAAATATGTATCTAATAGAATGTATAAACTGTGATATATTTATACTTTGGTATACTATACAGTTGGGAAAATGAATGACTTCAGCTACTGACATCAACATGGATGAACATCAAAAACACAATATTTGGAAAAGAAGCAAGTCATAGAAGAATACTGTATTATTAGTCTATTTAATTAAATTTTAAAACCGGGGAAATTGAAAACATATGCTATTTAAAAATACCTGCATTGATGGAAAAAGTGTAAAGGAAAGAGCGGGAATGACTAACGCAAATTCGTGTTGGTGCTTAACTCCAAGGGAAAGAAAGAAGAAGATCGGAAAGGGGAGCATGCAATAGAGAAAGTGAACTTAGGAGTGATAGTGCAAAATTATTCATTTTATTACTACTCTTTCATGTGTACACATGGTTTATATTTGACGATTTTAAAAAAGTGGAAAAAGAAAGAGATTTCTAACCGCTTCCACCAGTGGCGAAAATAGGAAAGCATGGAGCATTAAAAAAAACTCTGGTTTAAGTCCCCTCAGGACATAATTATCCAGTTACTTAAGCATATGAATGACACTTCTACCATTGCCAGGAAAAATAAACAAACAAAGGAATACTGTCTCAGATCTGCTGCAAACTGCAAACATTCACATTCCAGATTGAATTTATATCAGTTCTTAAATTTTCAAGACTACCAGCTGGGCAGTCTTGTCATTTGGGATTATTTTTCTATGTTGGATTTTCTTTTATAGGAAATATATCGTCTGTACTGATTCAGCATTGTTAAAGCCAACAAACTACCATAGAATCAAGCTGGGGAATTGTGTTTTACAGTGTGCTCATCCGTATTTTCATTTGTGGAATATAACATTAGCTCTGTCTTATGAATCAGATAGTTTTATTAAATCAGAAGAGGAAATGTTCATAAAGATTTAATAAGAATGCAGAAAGAGAATTAAAAATAATAAAACCACCTTAATAATTTTAGCTTCATTACTACTTTATATTATTTTCATGGTTTGGGATTGTTTTTTGGCATATTAATTTGATTTTGAGTTGTTTTCTAACTTGGTGCCATGGGAACATTTCTAAACATATTGAAAGAATCTTTTATTAAAAATGCTTGGGTGTTGCAGTAGAGTTGATATGTGATCTGTTGATTGTTTCCTTCAAACTAAGTTTTTAGACTATTTAAAATTTAAGCTATTTGAGTTGCAATAATTACTTAAAATTATTCTCAGACATTTGGTCATCCAAAACATCCATAAGACATTTGGTACATGCCTAAATGTCCTTGATATTTGGTCCTGTGCAAAATGACCATAAGACATTTGGTCCACAACAGAAGGTCGTTGATATCTGATCACATTTAGTCCTGTGTAAAATATCCCTGGAAACGTTGAGTCCAGCCAAAAGGTTTTTGATATCTGTAGGACCATTTGGTCCTGTCCAAAACGTATTTGGTCCACACCAAAAGGTTTTTGATATTTGGTCCTGTCCAAACCTTTTAGCATGGACCAAATATGCTCATGGATCTTTTAGACAGGCCCAAATGTCAAGGACCTTTTGGCATGGACCAAATGTCTGATGGACCAAATGTATTATGGACCAAATTCTTATGGACATTTTGGACCGAATCAATTATCAAGGACATTTTGGCATGGACCAAATGTATTATGTATGTTTTGAACAGGATCAAATGTCCTGCAGTAGCTCAAACCAAAAGAAAACTCCCCAAACCTCTCAAATTTTGAAAAGTAAATTGATAATTTTTAATATGACTGTATGAACCTTTGAGGCACCTGTCACGATGAGAGATAGGAACCTGAAGTATCAATTATAATTGCTCGCAAATGATTAGTAATGCCCTTGAATAATTAACTGTAGAATTGCCTGGATTGATTTTTTTTAATTTTAAAAATAGCCAGAGAATATTGCTTTTCCCTTATTCATTTTATAATACTCAAGCTAATTATTTTTCTGTAAGTACTCTAATGAAACTCAGAGGCTGGTTCTAGACTATGTCTACAAAGCATACACAAATATGGCCCACTTATACAATAAATTCTGAAAAATCAGTCAAAGGTGACTTTAATTAAGACAGCTTTTAAAAATAATGATTAGAATTTTTTTATGCTTTATCAATATGATGTTTATTCTACTGGCTGAATATATGAAAATACCAGCATTATGCCTATTCTGGGTTTTTTCCCCTCCCTCGAGGAAATCTAATTTTCTCATCTTAAACAATGAACAATTGAAGAAAAGTAAAATCAGATTTATATTCACTCCCGTTTGTTTGAGCTAGCTATATTGTGACTTCACTAGAAAATTGTGTAATTTTTTGTTGTTCTTTAATCTTGTGAATCTGATCTTACCAAAGTATTTTGAATAGTTTTTAGTGCTGAAAGGCTAACTTTTACTAATAGTTTAACCACTCTT